CCTTCACATGGCAGAATGTTTTGGCCATCTTTTATCCATTTTCTTATTCATTTTGGTATAACATTCATCCTAGTTGGTCAAATTATTTGGTCCCTTAAATTTCCAAAAGTTTAAACTTTGGTCACCAAATTTTAATGATTAATTCAATGAGGTCTTTACATTTTAGTCCATAAAATTTTAATTTTCCATAATTAAGCCCTTAATCTAGGCTTTTTTAATTTTTATAATGGTCACTAAACTTTTCTAATTATTTTAATTAAGTACCTAAACTTTTAATTTCTTTCAGTTAAATCCCTATGATTTTTCAATTAAGTCCCTAGGTTACCCACATAATTATATCAATTACTAAATTAAGAACTTAATATTTCATTCACACCTCATAATATTTATGGATAAATATAATTTTTCTATGCAAATATAAATACTAATTCAGATATTAAATAGATATTCACACATTAATTAAATTATTCATTCATAGATAATTATTTGAGGTTTTAGGTCAAGAATATTATATAGCTACTCTCGACCCAACGCTTGTCTTTTAAGGCACTTTGTCACAACATGACCTTTCTTCTTACACCAAAAACAAGTGTTGGTAAGTTCTAAGCACTCTCCAAAATGCCTTATTCTACATTTGATGAAAATTAACCTCTCTTAAGTCCCTACCACTACAGTTTCCTCCATGAGCTTAGCCCTTTTTTGCACTACTTGATCTTAGTCTCGAAAACCGATTCCGCATTCTTTTTGTCCTCCAAACTTAGGCATGAAACTTGGCTTAGTCGTAGATCTCTTTGCTCGTAACTCTTTAACAATCTCTTTACGATCTTCCTCAACCATCAATGCTTTTTCCATCATATCTCTATAAGTTATGGTTGATGACATTTTCACCATACTCTTTACTCTAGATTTGAGTGTCCTTAGAAAATGACCCCTCTTTTTCCACCATATCTTCCTCCACCATCTATAAAGGGAACAAACCAATAACCTTGCTTAAACCACCTCACATACTTAGCGACTAAGAATCCTCCTTGCTTTAACCCCCGAACTCTTGGACCTTTTTGGATTTCATATTATTGGTAAAGTATTTTATAAAATACCTTTATGAAGCTTGCCAAAGTAAGGTTAGGTATATCAAAATGCACCTTCGCTACATCCTACCAAGTCCTAGCATCTTGCACCACGACAAATATAGCACAAGAAACTCTATCAACATAATACAAACCCAAATGCTTAAAGATGACTTCTAATGACTTTACCTCCTCAACTATCAAAGGATTCATTCCACCAATGAACTCCTTTGGATTTATCATTCTAAACTACTAAACAATATCGACTATTTGATGTGGAGCTCTTTATGGTTGCTACTATTGCAATCTAACATTGCCCTCATATTCTCATCATGCTTTTCTTATAATTATTATCACATCATAGCTTACTACTATTGTAATAAATCCATCATCGTATTGCACCATCGACCCATTATTCTCCTTTTCATTACTAACCTAATTTCCCGATCCACCCATAATAACATTCCTTCTTAACGGCATTCTAAACCAATCCCATAATCATAAACCTAATCACTTATCAATCTCATATATAAACAATCAAATATCATCGGTTTACTAAATCTAATCCAAATTTATAACATAAAAAGCAAATTCCAAATAGACAATCAATATCAATAAGTATAATTTAAATCAAATAAATCACATAACATAAAATAACTAAGAATAATTCACATAATGTAAAATTATCAAAATATTTGACATAATATAAAATAAACAAGATTAATTGACATAAAGTAACATAAACACTTATATATTGATGATGGTTTTTAGCCTTGAACTCTTGTGTACTAAGTTTATGTAACGAACTAAACTTAAGCTTCGGTAGCACCTTATAGCGCCCTCGCATCGAGACATATACACGATGGCATTACAACTAGAAAGATGCTACACATAATACATATCTAAACTCGGATATAATGAAAAATTCTAACATATAAATACAAATCAAATCCAAATATAATAACTAAAGTCCCAACATTTCATCATATGATTATGACTTAATATATTTAATATGAAATCTCAAACTTTTAACATATGTCATAAATAAATATATTTATTAAAATATAAAATTATACATATGTTGGAACTTTAAATACAAAACTAAAAATCAAGTGGTCAACTAGCAAAAGATCATAAATCTAAATACATAACAAATTTCAAGTTGCAATTTAAACTTAATAGCCAACTACTCAAAAGAACAAAAGTCTAATCCCTTGATAAGAGTGTGCTCGAGGTGCATCGACCACATCATCAACATTTATGGAGGCTTTATAAGCTAAAATCTCATTACCTACACCACAAGATAAAATATGAGCCGATGCCCAATAAGCATAGTCATGCATCATATTTTATAAACTTTCATGATGTATGTGAATAAATTTTTTTCTTGATGTGTCACCCTACTGGACATGATGTCTAGTCCTCATTTCCTTTACAAAACTATGCCTTTACCAAACCTTACCTTTACCATTTTCCTTTACCAAAACCTTAGTCTTTCATGCATAACATGATTTCAATACATTTCATGAAATATATAAATATATGATCATGATGTAAATGCACATAAAAATACACCTAAAGACCAAATTCTTCAAATAACACATTCACATAAATCAATGTGGCGAGGTTGGACCATGCTTAAATTAGTTCTTTTGCAATTCAACAATTATTCTCCTTAAGCAATTTAATTCTTATGATTAAAATGATTCATGATAAATCTTCTACTTACATCAATAAGCTCATAAATAGACTAATTAGTCAATAATTTACTAAAAAAATTTAAAAATTCATATTTTACTATTCATCATTTTGAGCCTTTCTAAAATAATTTTATCATCACAAGAACCCTTTCATAAACCACATATTCAATCTTTTTACGAGTACTTTATCATTATAAGAATACTTTCATAAACCACATACTAAAATTTCAACTCAATCTAAGCTTTACAATATCCTACATCTATAAAACCTCAATTTAATTTATTAAATCCAAAAATAATTCATATAATAATATATAACCAATTAAACTCTAAATCAACTTCATAAATCATTAATTTAATGTAATTAATCATAATCTAACTAATTGAAATATCTTAAATCATACTTTTTTTAATAGGTCTTAAAACCCTAAGTTCATCAATCTTAACTCAAATGATAAACCCATCATAATTAAACCTCATAATCATCAATAATCATCTAAGAATATATCAAATAACTAAAAATAATAGCGAGAACAATACCTTTCTTTGTGGATTCGAATTTCAAGCTTAAGAACATCGGTTCCGCAAGCTTCAATCTTGCTTCATATCAATTTAGATCACCAAATGCTAACATAATCTAATATTTTTGGTGGTTAAATAGGTTAGAAATGGGTGAGAGATGATTAAGATGAAGTGAGAGGGGTGTTACTTCGAGAGAAAATGCAAGAGGAATGATGAAAGGTTATAAAATGACAAATTTTCATCATTTCCGAGCCTTTAAAACAAATGGCCCTTTTTTTTTTTTTTTACCTTAAAACTCACTTCTACATTTCCATTCAAGATTCACAATTTTCATTACTTTGATCCATCTTACTTAATAAATTTAATCAAAGTTAACTAATTGCAATTACCTCATTTTTTCTTAATCTCAAAACACATTTAATCTAAAATACTTCATATAATAATAATAATAAAATATCAATCACATATATAAAACAAAAATAAAATTAAAACAACACAAACACAAACATACACATGCATAATATGAAGAAGAAAAGTTTAGATGTCATACTCCCTACAAGATGAATCTCTTTGTTGGGTTGATGGAACCTCGGATGATTAAGTCGGTTATTAGAAAAGGAAGATGTCTTAGACTTTAAATATTATCGTTGTGGGCTTGAAAGAGATAATGAATGATAATATGGAGTAGGTAGAGAGAGAGAGAGAGAGAGAGTATGATTAAAAACTTGAAATCCTTGGTGTTTAGAATTCTTAAATATGCAAGACTTCTATCAAGTTACATTATGAAGATGGTAGAATTATCTATTTTTTAGTTATTGATGGTCTCTTATGCCAACGTGGAGGACCTATACTTTTGATGTGATTTGTTCTTTAAGAGTGCCAATATTTTCATGGTTGATATCAATAAGATAAGGATAGCCTTGAAAGCGTGTCTACATTAAGTACATATATGGAGTGTATCTTCTTCATCTAGGACAAATATCCATGGTAAAAGTGGTAGCGTCCGGTTGAGCAACTAGCTAGCCCTTGGTTGGTTGTTAGTTTTGACCTAGGATTCCTTTGTTATATATGTTTTAATCGAGATGCTCGTATGACATGTGTTATCCAAACTCATCATTCTTCTTATTTATTTGTTTAGCTAGTTCTATTTAGGATAATCAAATCAGAAATTTTTTTGAAAATTATATATTTTATATTAGAAGATCAAAAGTGACTTGTCAAATGAGAGGACTTTGCTGAAAATTAACCAAAAACACGACATCGTTTTGCATAAAACACAATTCTAAATAATGCAAATTATATAAAGGACTAAAGTGAAGAATGGACACCGTTTAATGCGAACACACGTCATTTTTATGAACAATAGAGAAAACCCAACGTTTTCATATATATATATAATTATTATTATATTTTGTATCAGTATATTGGAGTGAAAACGTTTTTTGCTTAGAAAAAAAAAAAAAAAAGGAGGCCCAACGTGTGTGGTTGGGGTAATTTGTTAGCCGATATTCACAACGAGTGGCGGGCACGTCTTGAGAAATCAAAACGAAACAGAAAGTTGTGTGTGTATATATATATATATATATCGTCGGACTATGTCCTCAGACTCAGTGGATCGGACTATAACGTAAGTAAAAGTTGAAAGCAAGAGAAAGAAGGGGAAGAGATCGGTGTTGTTGGTTGGCGGTGCAGTGAATAATAATTAAAAAAAATGAGTTTGAGTTACTCCACCACCTCTGGTGGCATTTCTTCTTCCACCTGCTTTACTTGCCCACCCAAAACCCCTCCTCACAGCACTATCCGCACTGTAATTCGAGCATCTAAAGGTACCGTACCTAACTAGCTTTATCTTTCTTTTCTTTTTCTTTTGCTTACTGCTGTTATTAATTTAATTCAATATATATATATATAGTTGAACCATCGGAGAAGTCAGTGGAAATTATGAGGAAGTTCTCGGAGCAGTATGCTCGTAAATCCGGAACTTATTTCTGCGTCGATAAAGGAGTCACTTCTGTTGTGATTAAGGTAACAACAATTATAAATATTCCTATTAATTTCTTTCTTTTCTATTACTAACTCTTATAACTTTGCCTTCTTGCTTAATTTGTTCCGTAATGATGTTTTTTCTTTCTTTTATCTGTTAGATAAATTCTTTTTGGCAGTACTAATTATATCCATCTGACACATATGGATATGGGTGGTGAAAATGGTTCAAAATGAATTCTTGACGTAGTTTTTGCTTTTTTGTTTTGCTAAATTTAAACGTGCCTTTCTACTAAAAACATTAGAATAGAATTCTTCTTCTTCTTCTTCTTCTTCATCACCTCCCCTCCTCATGTTTTCACTATCTATTTCCTGTTATATTGTTCCGCTTGTGATCAATAATGTTTTGGGTTTTTATCAGACTACTTTTAATAAACCTATTCAAAGCATTAGTTAGCATCTATATCACATTACAAAAGAATGATTTAACCACCCATTGCGACTTTCTAAGCACACCAATGGAACAAAGTTTTCAAATTTTTAATTAGATCGATTCTGGTTTTGCTGTTCTATTGTAAAGATGTTTTATGTAAAATTTCAAATGAGTGGAATGTTTATGAATTGATCATCCTAACTGATTTGAATTTTTTTACTCATAATTACAAGAAATTACCATTTTAGTGATATGATTTCAGATTAACATGAAATTTGATGCGAATAATCTACATGGATAGAGTGTTAAGGATAATGGTTGGTTCTGAATTCTAGTTGGTGGCAATTCAAATATCTGAAGCTACTATGTTTCTGATTAACTGGTGTAATAGGAAAACCAGATATTGTAAGTTGATTTTCTTTGTTATGTTTTCTCCATTTTGAGTTTTGATTTTTGAATCAACTATGCTTCTTCATTGTTGCAAAAGAAAAAGCAGATGTTGTAATTGACTTTTTATGTTATGATTTCTCTGCTGAGTTTTGATTTTGCAGTCTATTTGTTTATTTGTTGAATCCAATTAAATGGCCTTTCATTTGCAAAACCATTTTGATATGTAAATAGGGGTTGGCAGACCATAAAGATTCGCTGGGTGCACCTCTTTGCCCTTGTAGGTAATATTTTCTACACCATGCTATTTGGTCCAGTATTCTAAGCATTTAATTTGTATGTCTAGTGATTTCATGTGGTTAAAAGGGTCTTGTGATTATGTCCTGTCATAACTGTCCAACTTTGATTTGATTGTGAACAGGCATTATGATGATAAAAGTGCAGAGGCTGGGCAGGGCTTTTGGAACTGTCCATGTGTCCCCATGAGAGAGAGGTAGATACCTTTATCTCTATGAACTAGTATTTGTCTTATGGTTAGTGGATGATTAGTTTGGAGGATAGATTGGAGCTCTTTGACGCACATCTTAAAGTAGCTATATGCTTGGATTTATCTGTTAAGCATTCTTTCAATATTCTGCCTATATTGGTTTAGACTCAATAAGTTGCACACTTGTGACAGCTAATTTGGCTTGTAATTAGAGAATTTAGCAACTAAGTTATTTTGACTTTATTATAGTAGTCAATACTTTGAATAGATGACTGTTGGTAAATGCAATGCTTCCAAGATCCTTTAGGAAACAACTATGCATGAAGGTCTTTTAGATACATCAATGTAGTGGCCTGATAATTGGCATGAGAACATTTAAACTTTTCCTTCGGTGATTTATTGAGGTGAACAGTTTTTTTTTTCTTTTTGGTCATTTTTATTAGAAGAAAAAAAAATTCACCCACTGCCCATTTAGATACAACTACAAAGACAATAGCATTGAATACAAGCTGAAGCCGAAGGAAGATGACATATAGTAGAAAAACATAAAATGAGAATACACTAAGAATAACTTATCAGCTCACATTTGGCACTATCACATCTATATCTTGTGCATACCATAAATCCACTTTATTATGGAACCAGCTGTGATGGCTATGTCAGGCATCTGGGGCATGGTTACCACAAGTCACAATCCTTGAAATCAAATATTAGTTTGAATAAACTAAGAAAATGGTCACTTAAAAACAAGCAAACTAGTCTCCCATCGCTCCAGGCAACACACGGCAAGGATAGTACAATAGCAAGATAGCAAGACCAACTGCATTTGTATAACACCTATACATCTGCCACACTCAGGGGATTGTCTCGTCACAATCATGCTACCAAGTAAGATGCTCTCCAATTGCCCTGTTTTGCCAAACCATCTGCAATAGAATCTCTTGGGGTATGCTAGAAGACCACCTCTATAGAGAACTTAGACAACACATGTTTCTTATTAGCAACCATTCTCTTCCTCCAAGGAAATTTATGGTCCCCACTACCCATTACTGGATTCAATTTTGTGAAGGGAACCTGAAAGTTAAGTATCTTTATGGTGGGAAGATAGTTCCTAAACCAACATAAGCATTGGGTGAATGACAACTATTTGCAGAGCAGAAGTTATCTTGTTATTTTTGATTGAGAGGAATTATGCCCCTGCGTTAGTGGGGGGATACTATGGGAGATACCATGGTGGCTTGGTTGGTATCTCTCATGGTTAAGGACAACTAAGTGGTCTAAGGGATCTGCAAGAGTTACTGGAATGGGTTGGTATCATATAGCTTTTGGCTTTGATCCAGTACCCTGTACATTGTTAGCTTCATTTTTAGTAGCAGAAAACAAAGAAGGTCTTGCAGAGATACCCAACCCAAGAGCCACACAAGTATGAGCTTGATTCCACTATTCTTTCTCAATTATGAGGAGGTTGAAAAGGAGTACAAAATACTGGATTGGGGTATCATATAGCTTTTGGCTTTGATCCTGTGCTCTGTACACTGTTAGCTTTAGTTTTAGTGGCAGAAAACAAAGGTCTTGCAGAGATACCCAACTCAAGAGCCACATAAGCATGAGCTTGATCCCACTATTCTTTCTCAATTATGAGGAGGTTGAAGAATACAAAACAATGGATTGGGGTGGATGATAAAGGATACACTGATGTCCTGTCATGTTTAGTGGACGGTTAGTGGTGGATACTTTGCTTAAGATAGTTATTAGGCCATGTACTACTGATAAACGCTTATTCTAGTAAAATGTAATATCAATAACAGATTTTTAAATTAACTTGCTTGGAATTTTGTGATATGGTTCAAGTTGAAATTGAAGTTGGCAAAAATTGGCATTTACCAACAACTTTCATAGGCAATGTACTCTTGGATGGATCAGATAGTAAAAGAGGATGCTTGTTGTTAAACAACCATGAGATGCCACTGTTAATTTAAGCCAAGCATTGAACATGTAGCTTTTAAAGGACGTACCAGATTAAGTTATTTCTGTGACTGGCAGTGGCAAGTGAACAAGGTGGTATTATGTATGGAGCAATTTTTCATCTTTGTACTTTGCTGGGGGTATTAAACAAATGAAAGGAATGAAGGAAAAAGTTTTAATCGAGCAAATTGAATGCTTACCTGACACTTCATGTTAGCAGGACTGCTTCTTTCCCTGATTTAATTAGGTAATGTATATAGCAGCCTCTGTAGAAACCACCATGTTTTGTGATATTAATGGCACTATAAAAAAATATGTAGATCTTTGCTCTTGTAACTTCTTGTAGCCTGAAACTTGGAAGAAGAAAACCCAGAAAAACAATTGAATTTCGTCATGTAATATGCTTTCACAAATAATTCCATCCCTGAACATAACTGCTTAAGATATGAATGCATTCCAGGCTTAAGAGTGCCGCTCTTTTGTCTTGACTAAAGAAAAACTCCATGTGCCTTTCTTTGACATGTTATTCATATGCATAAAGGACAATCATAGTCTTGCAGGACACAACTTTGACCTTTTTACTAGCTTGAACCTTGCTTGAGAGGGGCAGTGTCTTATTTGTTCTCATGTAGTTTGATTTTCTTCAAAATGTCATTCACCTATTTCTCCAATCTATGAATTATATAGTTCTTCATGCTTAAAATGTAAGAATGTCTTGGCAGGAAGGAGTGCCACTGCATGCTCTTTCTCACTCCAGATAATGATTTTGCTGGAAAGGATCAGGTAATTCTAAATACCTTATTTTGTTAATCTCTCAAATTTAATATTTTGAAAATGGAGAAGTGGCTGTTGTTGTGATTCATAATAAATATTTAAGATTGGGCCATGACAAACTGCCTCAATTGTGGCTGGACCTTATGAAGAGAATGAAGTTTCTTTGTTCTTATTTGTGAGAGTAGTGATAAGAATCTCAAAATTGAGGGGCATTTTGGTCGTGCACATCACTCACAGGCTTCCGCATGTACCACAGAAAATAACCGGCACTATATTAACAATTTCTTCCAAGGGACTCTCAACCGCATCCAGAATTTTGTGTTAATTTGTTTGGTTGATTATTCAATAATCTTTCGTACCCTCGATTCTTTCTAGTAGTATTTCTTTTTCCAATGAAAAGATGGCTTGAGTTTGTCATTTCTCCCCTTCTAATGCAATTTGGCGGTTTTCTTGTTATGCAGACAGTCTCTTTGGAAGAGATCAGGGAAGCAACAGCAAATATGTGACTTCTTGTGTATTGAACTACGCATTTAATGAGTTTTCGCTTTGTATTTTGCATAGAAAATTCATACTTATCTTGTGTATGTATATTATATGCTAATTAACAAAATAAATAATAAATAAAGATCTAATGGCTCAATTTATATGGGTGATTCCTTGATATGTGCTTGTAACTTTAATTGAGTTAATTTTATTATTAAATACATATTAAGTTATCATATCTTTCTATCAAGTTTTTTCGACCGAATGAGACACACACTACTTGCATATGATAATTTTTTTTATTTTGAAAATTCACTTATTAGCTAATGCTTAATTTTTTTTAAAAAAAAGTATTAATGCAAGAGAAACAAATAAAACACCTAGAGAGAGGAGAAAGACTAGAGAGGGAAGAGCCCAACGATTATGCAGGGGCTTGACGATGTTTTGGATTGTCTTAGGCCGTAAGAGTTGGAGAATACGGGGATTCCATTTGAAGATAACTACAGGAACAAGGATTGGAAATTTATTCTACTTACACGTCGTGAGTATGAACATCAACACAGCGTTAAAGGAAGATCATCTTAGAAGTCTTAAAACGGAGATTTATTCAAAATAAAGCAAATTTGTATGATGAAGACTTTGCCTTGTACAATGGGGCTGTAGAAGTTGCAAAGCAATGAATGGGTTTTCATCAAATTAGAAACTTATTCTCTTTGAATTTAAAAACTCTTCATTTATTCTTCTTTTCTTTTTTCGACATATAGAATTTAAGTAAGTGTAATTTTGGGGATAGCTTTTCTGTTTTTGGATTTTAAAAGGTTTGAGAATTTGGGCCTTTATGCTTTAGGTTGCGAAAGGTAATTTGATGTTAGCGTTGAAGCAGGGAGAGACTTCTATTTATAAATTGAATTTAGGTGGCTTTTTTTTTAAGGGTTTTACACCTTTTCACATTTAAAAAAAAAAAAAAAAAAAAAAAAGTGAAAAAGAAGGGGAATTTTGAAAGTTCTAGTATAAAAGACGATGGAGGAGGAGAAGAAAGGTGGTTTTTTTTAAAAAAAAAAGAAAAAAGTTAAGAAAAGAAGTGTTGATTGTGAAGGGTGTTTCTTGTTTTACTTATTCTATCCGAAATCTTATTTCCTTGAAAGTAAAGTTGATTGTGATCGGTTTGCCACTTTCACATATTTGTTCTTGATTGGTTTCGTTAGTTCAAGAAAGAACAAGAAAGAAAAAAAAAGAAAAATAAAAAGAGAAATCGAGAGGTAAAAGGCAAGAGTGTGTGAGCTTATTTTTGAGGAAAAGCTAAGAAGAGAGTGAACACGAGGGTTAAATGACATTAAATCAAGAGAAACACATAAGGGAGTGTTTGCGAGGTTTTTTACAAATATTCTATGCAAATAATTATCATTGGTCAATATGTAAAGTCGACGTGATTATTTGTAACTTGAAATCGAGCATATAGAACAACCATCTTTTAAGAATCTATTTGAGGACCGACAACTTGAAATCGGACGTATGAGATGACAACTTGATGAGCTTGCTAAAATTTACGAACAAGAAAAATTTCAACGAGAAAATGAGGAATTTGAAGTTGCAATTTCCAAAGAAAATGGTGTCAATGAAGAGGTTAATGTGGCTGAATTCAAAGGAGTTGAATGCAATCAAAAGTCCAACAAAAAAAGTTGATGAAGTTGTCGCTCTTGACAATGTCGTAGATGTTGAAATTTTCGACAACAAAGTCACCAATGTTGCTGTAATTTTCAAAGAAGATTATGTCAAAGATGACAACGTTAATGAGGCTAACTTTATGAGAGCCAAAAATATCCAAAAGTCTAGTAAAAGTGTGGAGCAAACTATTGTATTTCATGGAGCCACGGACATCCAATTTATCAATAACAAAACCGAGTGTGATATTACCGCAATTAAGAGTTAATCGAGTATGGTGCTATTTTTAATGGTGTGGAGAATACCATAACTTTGAGCAAAGGAGTAGTTTTTATTGTTGAAGTCAAAGGGCATGCTGATGCTATTGTCATTCATGATTACCATCTTCCAATTTTTGGTCTTCAAGCATCAATTTGTGAAAATTATGTGACACGGATGGTGTGCCATTATGTACTGAATTTTCTAGTGTTTTTCTTGGCTCAAATTCTGTCACAATTAAATGGTTTGATATTAATATCCATTTGGGACGACATGAATTCGGCTTAAAGGTGAAGATTTGAGGACAAATCTTTTTAAAGAGTGGTAGAATGATGAGAACATGGGGGCTGAATAATATGGATTATTCAATGTCCAATGGGTTGGTGAGGACATGGGCTACTCAATGAGCTAGCCAACAAGGACATAGGCTTGGAGAGGAGTCAAAGTAATCATTTGGGGCAAAAATTATTGATCCATAACCAGAATTAAAGCTAAAGAGTTTTGGGTCAAGGTCGATGTATGAGATTGGGCCGATGCTATTAAATGCGTTTTGGGTCAAAGTTGTCATTTAAGTTTTGGGTCGAGGTTGGTTGATGGTGTTTTATTACCAAATTAATTGGTGATTGTTTCTTGGGTCAAATTTATGAAGATCTTGATGAAGTTTGGTCCATATTTACGGTTTTAGTCTTTTAGGCTGATTTAATTACATATTATGCTTTGTTGAATTTTAGGCCATTTTTGTTCTATTTTATTGGATCCTAAGCCATATTGAAGTTTGTAGAGTTCTAGGCATTCTAATTTACTAAAATTTCCTAAAATGTCATTTCAACCTATTAATAGGCATATATTTGTATTCAATAATTATTATTCAACCAATATACTTTATGAAATTTACGTGAGAATTTTCTCTCCTAAGTTCTTTCAAGAACTAATTTGAAACTTATCAAAAATCTAATCGATTCTTGTGATGCTCAAGCGACTTATCAATCCTCTTCTATCTATTCCGGAGTGTGGCATCCATATCTTTCTCGGATCTGATTTGGCTTTTCCGAGTTCAATCATCTTGTTCGTAAATTCTCTAATCATCGAGCTAGGCGAGTTCACATCATTAGGCATCTTAGTTGATTCATGAATGCAATCATAAACAAGTAAAATAAAGAAACAATGGACACTCGAAAGAATGGATAGTATTTCAAATGACAAAGCGAGATCTCTCAATCTAACATGAACTGAAGTTAAAGTCCCTTGAACCAAAATAAACAAACTAACAACTCATACAAAAATTATTCAAAGAAAATAAAATGTTTAGTGGCCTTAAATTATTTCCTAGAAATTAGTTTTCCTAATTTCCTATTTTGTCTTTTACGCCGGATACGGATCGATACATCCCGAATGAGAGTTTTCTCTTTTCAAGAAAATTTTAGACCTATTTATCATTTTTCCAACACACTAGTCCTTACAAAAGAAAGAAAAAAAAGGTCTAAAACTCAAGTTATGGGCTAAAAACTACGGATGTCTCAATTAGTCCGTCTAGACTTAGGAATTCAACTTTATAGCTAAATTAATGTTTTAAACCAACCTAATTTGGACTCGAGCCCTTACAATAATTATAGATATGCTTTCGTAAGCTTCCATAGGCTTGTCCTTAGATTAATTGAAGGTCCGAAACTCTAGATATGAAATAAAATTTGTAACTAGTCCGGAATTCTAAGTAGGATTTGGATTAGGTTTCTAGACTAGATTATGAAATATCATTTGGAGGCCCAAACAAACTCAAAATTTGACCAATAATATCATTCTATAAAGATTGAGATGTCCTATATAAAAGAACCGAGACTACTTCCAAATCCAACACCAAGGTAACTAAAAAATAAGAAACCCAAAATGCCTAAATCAAACATGTTGGAATTTTTTAACTTTAAGCCCATTACTCTCAATTCCTAATTTTATGTCCTAATTATGAATATGAGAATTAACTATTGTAATAAGACATAAAACATAGCAATCAAACTAGACGTAAAGAGAATAAAGATATAAGCTAATGCATCTATCGATATTTCATTCTCGTTAAGAATAATATAAAAAATAAATAAATAAATAATGGCATATAATAATTTTTATACTTGCAAAATCACATTGGTAAGAAATATAAAATTCATGGTACATTTTAGAGTATGTATAAGAATAATAAAATTAAAAATTAAAAATTCAATAGAGGAAAATGTTTTCTAAAAGCAATTTTTTTCTAACCCAAAAAAAAAAAAAAAAAAAAACAATCTAGGCTTGGAGTTGAACCTAGATGTGTCTAAGTCCAGCTATTTTGAAGCAAAATAATACATGAAGATACATCATCCTTATCGATGATGTGTCATCCGATGTCTTCTTCTTTCTTATCTAAGTTGGAATCCAATAGATTGGATTGTATTTCATCAAATTTAGCTACAAAATATAAAATCTTCATTTTCATATTATTTTCAACCTAAAGATGCTTATAAAAACTCCTCTCATCCTTATAATCGTAAATCTAAGATCAAAAACTATTTTTAAACAACAAATCAACACAAAACTCAATTTGAAAGCTTTAGATCAGAAATTTAAATGCACATATCTTTCAATTTAAATGGTAAAATTTGAGTAAATTATAAATTGGATCCTCTAGTTTTGAGAAACAAATTAAATAGTCTTATGATTTCAAAAACTAATTATTTAGTTCTTTTAACCGAGTGTTGACTATGACTAATTTAAAATTTTTTTATTTTATAAAAGATTTTCTTTTCTCATCAATCTTTTCATATTTTTACTCTTTTTTTATTCCTTTTCTCGCTTCTTAAAACAAAAATAATAAATAATAAATAATAAAAAGAATTAAATAATTAGTTTTTGAAACTAAAAAGACTAATTAATTCATTTCTTAAAGTGAGAAGGACTAATTTATAATTTACTCAATAAAATTTTAATATCAACAAATTCTTGATGATGATGGCTTTCTTTTGATAGTGGTATTTGCTGGCAATAGTAGGCGGCTTATGTTGCCTAAAATTTTCTTTCTCTTCTTTCTTTTGTCTCTCTTTTTTTTTTCCTTTCTATTTTTTGTGATTTTTTC